TATTCTCAATCTCTTTTAGCGATAAAGAACCTGAGGGTCAAAGGTATTTAAGAATGATCAAACAGTGTTTCCCTCTTCAATTCTCTAGCTGTGCAAAACAAAACAAGATGATTATATGAACACTTAAATATTAAAGCCATTTCTTTAATAAATTAAAAATAAAATCAGTGAATCAGAAGTACTTCTCTCGCCACTGAGCTCTGCAGATAGCAATTGAAATGTTGCTACTTCAGTAGTTTTAAAGCGGCCATGAAATATGTCTTGGGAAAAAATGGTGGCTAAAACCATGAATATATTTATTTTATTCTAATTGAAATCTTTTTTCAAGGACAAATGTAAAGATTTTTACTTTTAAGTGGTAAGTGCATAATAGCAAAATAGGAAAAAGAAAACAAATTGAGAATCATAATGATAAATGCGAATGAAAAATATGAAAAATACAGGGGGCGCCTGGGTGGCTCAGTCATTAAGCGTCTGCCTTCGGCTCGGGTCATGATCCCAGGGTCCTGGAATCGAGCCCCGCATCGGGCTCCCTGCTCCGCGGGAAGCCTGCTTCTCCCTCTCCCACTTCCCCTGCTTGTGTTCCCTCTCTCGCTGTGTTTCTCTCTGTCAAATAAATAAATAAAATCTTTAAAAAAAAAAAAAGAAAAAAATGAAAAATACGGAAGCTGTGTAATATTTTTCCAGTCTACATGATTTTTGAAATTTCTTTGGAAGGGTATTTTGAAAGGTCCAAATGCAAGACATGACAATGACTATGTTATTGCCTTTCTTTATCAAAACATCCTTTTTAGTGCCTAGTTTTTACTTAACAGAAAATATTTTCTTGTATCAGATATGTTATTCTTAAATTACTTTAATGCAAAATATGGTGTATGTTAATGCATGCTATAAACTCCTAGTACATATTTAAATATATCTTCCAAATATATACTGTTTCGCATATAGAAATAACTAACATTATATTGACTAAGTGCTAATGCTTACAATACCCCAATGTATGCCTAATGCTAATGATAGCCCAGTAGCACCGCTAATGTCTAAATTGCAGTCTCAAAAACCCCTGTCCCACTAGAAGGAAGCAAGACCCTTTAGCAAAAGGGCCAAGTGTAGGTCTGGAATAGGAAATTTACAAAATGAGCCTGGGACATCTCATGCCAAAATGCAAGGATATTATCAAAGAATACTGGGATCATCTCAAAAAGCTACAGTATTCAATGACTGGAGCATTAAAAAAGAACAATGATTACAATACACTAAAACAGAAGGTAAATTTAACCCTGCAATTCAATAAAAAGTTGACAATTATCCAAAAAACAAATGTCTGGAATGAATGAACAGGCAATTTACAAAACAGGAAATATAAAAGGGGATACAAATATTAAAATATGTTCAATCTCCATAATAATCAGGGAAATACAAATTAAAAATATTAAGACATCATTTCTTTGCCCATCAGATTGGCAAATCTTTTAAAGTTTGATTATATCAAGTAGTGACAATAGAGGGGAAAAACAGGAAATGTTGGAAGTTCAAACTGGTAAGGTTTTGTTTTTTTTTTGACTGGGCAATTTGGCAGTAACAATTTTCATTTTAAATGTGCATACTCTCTGGCCCAACAATTCTACTTTCCTATACTTAACCTTAAAGAAAGCCTTGCACATACTTTTAAGGAGGCACCTATAATGGTGACTGGCTATACTGTTTTTAATTGTGAAAAAGTTACATAAATTTTATCAATGGGGGATTGGATGTGTATGAGTCCGTTCAAAAGAATAACTTGGGGATATCTTCAAGCTATACTGGCAAGTTAAAAAAAAGTCATGGTGAAAAATATACTGTGATGTTATATATATTTAAAGACCCACAAAATTATTTCATTCCATATGTCATGTATATATGGAGAATCATGCTAGAGGGAAATAGGATGACCTTTTCCTTTATCTGTATTTTTTATACTATAAACACAACAAAGTATTCTTTATTTTATAATTTTTGAATGTTAGGAAAATAATCTTTCAATAAATCCTCCAAAGTGGTTGTTTATGGCCCGAGTTTACAGATGAGGAAACAGGGCTCAGAAATAATAGCTGACTTGTCCAAGGTTAAACAATAGAAGTAAAAAATCTGGCTGATCTCAGGCCTTTTATGCAGATGCTTTTCTCTAGATCACAAGTCAAAATGATCTTGTATTTTGTACTGGTCAAAACTTTTCTAAGGAGATATCTAGGTTGGAAACAGAAACGTGGGAGCAATAAGTATTTGCCAACTGATACCATGGAAGTACACTGAGGAGATTGTGGATTGTGCAGGCTCAGAACAGAATCCTGAGAAGCAGCAACATTTAATGGATGAACACAGTTAAGGAACCCTATAAGAAAGTCAAAGAAGAAATTGCTACACAATCAGAAGAAGAGGGTGAAGAACTCAAGCACAGAGAGCACTTCTATAAGAAGGAAGGGGTCACCAGTGACATATACTGCAAAGAAGTCAAGAGAGCTTTGAAGTATCATTTGGATTTGGTAACATAGTCATCTGGTGACTTCGGCAAGAGAGTCTCAGTGAATAGGAGAAGCAGAAACCAGAACGCAGAGGGATGAAGCATGAAGAAGACAGGAGAATTTAATAGTATGGTAGATACTCAGAAATTTAAACATAGAATCATGATATGATCCAGCAATAAAGAATACTTAAGTCCAGCAATTTCTATTTATTGGTTATATACCCAAAAAGAATATAACCCAAAGAATTGAAAGCAGAGACTCAAACAGATTATTTGTACACCCATGTTCTTAGCAGGATTATTCACAATAGCCAAAGGTAGAAGCAAACACAAATGTCCATCAAAGAATGAATAGATAAATAATATGTGGCATATACATATAATGGAATATTATTCAGCCTGAAAAGGAAGAAGATTCTCAACACATGCTGTGACCTGGGATGCACCTAAGTAAAAGAAGCCAGCTACGAGGACGAATGTTCTATGAGTCTACTTGTATGAGGTACCTAGAGAAGTCAAATTCATAGAGACAAAGTAGAAAAAGTGACTGCCAGGGACTGGGTGGCAGTGGGAGGAGACGAGGAATGGGAAGTTATTATTATTAATGAGTATAAAGTTTCAGTTTGGGAGGATGAAAAGATCTAGAGATGGGTGGTGGTGGTGGTGGTACAATAATGTGCATATACTTAATGTCTCTGGACTATACACATAAAATGATAAAATTGTCAATTTTATTTTATGTATATTCTAGTGCACACTCACAAACACGTGTGCACACGCACATACACATATGCGCGCACACACACACCAGCTATGAGCACTTGAAGGAAGTCAATGAAGACAACTTTTTCAAATTGGAAACGGAGATACACATCCACCATCCTGGTGAAAGGGACACAAATACTGAGCCAGCACATTAAAACCATCTACTGATACCCAGCACTGTGCTTCCGGTAGTGAGCCTGGGTCTTTGATGGGCGGATGGACCTCGTGTTTTATAACGGAAGTCAAATACGGTCATATTTAAATTTTTCAAAACACATAGAATCTAAGCGATGTTAATCACATTAATAACTTTTTCTTCAAGGATTTTCTTATAAGTATCTAGTAAAGAATTCCAATCTGGGCGCCTGGGTGGCTCAGTCGGTTGAGTGTCTGCCTTCGGCTCAGGTCATGGTCCCAGGGTCCTGGGATCGAGCCCCACATCAGGCTCCCTGCTCTGCGGGAAGCCTGCTTCTCCCTCTCCCACTCCCCCTGCTTGTGTTCCCTCTCTCACTGTGTCTCTGTCAAATAAATAAATAAAATCTTAAAAAAAAAAAAAAAGAATTCCAATCTGATTTTACACTGAGGATGCTCTGGTGTTCTGCTGTTGTGGTGGCAGTATTGTTTGTTCATTTATTTTTCCTTCCCGCCAATTCACATCACGTAGGAGTTTAGGTGGAAGGGAAAAATGCTTCCATTTTTCATTATCCCCTAATTGCTCTTTATTGCCCCTTCGAAAATATGGTTAAGTAAAAAGCAGAGTGTGATACCCTGGGAGCATGATAGTTTCCAAAGTCCAGAAAGTGGTTCTTGCAGTGTGTGGAGGTTTGCATAATTCCTGTTATTCTTGCAACCCACTCCGCACCCCCCTTCCCTTCCCCAACAGCAAGGGAGGGTGAGAGGGACTGCCACATACAAGTTGCCACTGTTATCTGCTTCTGCTCTTCAGTAACCTGGGAGAAGTATATATATGAGTAGTTCCTTCTATTTGAGGTTGGCAATAGTGTTGGCTTTGATCAACTGTTTTTGTGTCCTTTTTCTACCATTGTCCCTACTGTCCCATAAATATTTTCAATTAGTGCTCCAGCCTGTTAGAAACCTAACCAGTTATGTTCAGCAGTGCAGGACCTGCACCTGTTTTTTATTCTTGTGGCTGAAGTTGAGAGAGACCATAGCTTAATGAATAAGCAACAGTTTCAGTTTTGCAATGCTTTATCTATATGTAACAGGCAGCTATTCATGAGAAAGGAAGTTTAAGGCTTGTAGGTAAAAAACCACTACCCACGTTCCAGGAAAATGCCCGTTTATTGAAGTTTGTTTTTTTTTTTTTCTTTTTACAATATGTCTATAGTCAGATTAGCATTTAGGTCATACTCCAAAGAGTTTAAATTAATTAGTCTTATAAAAGCAAGTTTATTCCTCATGTATCAGCTTGACAGTTTTTGTCTGCATAGAATGGTATTTTGTTTTTCCATGATTATCTTTCAGCTACAGAGGAGATGTTTCCTTATGTAAATGAGCATTGCATAATCAAGTATAGATTTAAATAACTTAACTTTTTGAAAACTTGCTTACATATATAAATTTGTGTATACGTTAATTATATATGTATATACGCACAAATTATAGCCTGTCACCATGATTCTAAATGTAAGGTTTGTGAAGACTTTTCCATTCTCCTTAGAATTTATAAAGCAAAATGACTCTGATGTTTCACAACTTCCTCTTTTGGTAGAGTGTCCTTTTGCAGAGAAAAAAAAAAAATTGACTAAAGAGAGCTGAGTGGAGTCAGAGCCCTTCGAGATGCTGGTTAACTCAACTATTTAAGCAGCTTAACAAGCAACTGAAAATAAGACATTGCGGTAAGAAGAAAGTGATCACTTGCTATTTTTCATTTTATTATTTGGATTACTGTTTGTGGAACAACAATTTAAATGTTGGTTGGATTATAAAATAGATTAGATAAGTCTAATAATTCTAAGTAAGTACTCAATATTTTAAATGAAGAGGTTTACTGAGTTTACTGTTTCAACTTCACATACAACCTTTTGAAAAGCTGGGGAATTTAAAAATTCTTATTGATCTCCAAATTATTTTAACTGAAAAGTAAAAAAAAAGTCTTTTTTTCATAGTTTTGTACACTACTTAGTGCTGAAAGAACCTTTGTCGTAATATAAATTTTGAAAACTTTTTTTCCCCTTGCTGCAGTAAATTCCTAACGTGTAAGTTATCCTACCTATATTTGTTTGTTAATTTTGCATATTACTAGTTGGACATATTCTGGAAAAAAGATATTCTTGTGCTTGTTTCTACTTACTGTGAAAATATATATTATTTAAAGTCTTACATTTCAGTATTATTTTTCATATCATCACATTGTGATGATATTTAAATACTTTCGAAAAAGCGATTTGTAGTGTAGATAGTAGTATTTAAAAATGTAAATAAGGTAAGTAAATCAAATTTTAGAAATTTGTTTGTTTTAAGATTAATTTGCAGTTGTAGTGCCCAAAACCGGAGCAAGGACTATAAAACCATTTGGATTCATAATTTGGGATCAAACTAAACTGAAACTAATTTCATCAGCCAACTCTAAAGTAATCTAAATCCAGCAGAATTATTTTTATTTGTGCGAAGCTAGAGTAATGTATATACATATTAACTATTTAATAGAATTGTTTTTCTCATACAGTAATTTTTAAATCATTTTTAAGCAAATAATATACCTGAATGCTTACTTAATTTGGTTTGTTTTTAATTGGAATAATCACATGGCTTCTGAAAAAGAAAGTCTGCATTGTTCCATTAATTAACAGACTTAATTTTAATCAGTTTGGTTAAACAATGCCGTCACACTGGTTCTATTACATTATCTAGAAAATAGGGTGTTTTTAAAAAATTATTTTCATGCAATGTACTGTGACGGGAGTAGCTGTCTTTGGTTACAGAGAGAAGAAAAACAGATTGTTAGTGTTATAAATTCAGGCAATGAAGAGTTGACTCAAGTTTGACATTCTTAACTAGATCAAAATTTTAAAATTAAGTTGATAGTTGTGAGGAATCCATTAAAATTGTGCCTGTTCATCTTTATGTATCACACGCTAATTAAACACACCGGAACTTGATTATTGTTCTTTGCAACAACACCACTTATAATGTCCCTCTCTTTAAAAAAAAAAAAAAAAAATGATGGAAGTATTTTGAAATGTCCAGAATTTTAAGGAAGAGATAGTTTGATATCATAAACTATCAAGTGCTGTGTGTTTGTCATACATAGTGTGGTATTACACGGAATAACTGATAACAACCAAGAAAAACGTGGCCCAAAGAAATTACAATCTAAGTTGATCAACGCTATAATTCAGAATGGCAAATGAAGGCCAAAGAAGTAGAGAAAATCCTGTCTTGCTGGCAAGATGGATGTGTTGTAGTTGTGGTTGTGATTGTCATGAACTATTAAAGTCTCTGAATGAACAGCCTAGTTCTAGATTATGGAAAATAAATGTAGAATTTGTTCTATGACAAAATCATATTTACAGAAGAAAATTAGTGCTACCTGGTTGAGTTTCCTGGAGTCATGCGGATTGTTAAAGGGGGCGATCTTACCATTACTGGGAGAATAGCAAGATGCATTGCTTACGCTTTTCTTTCACGTAGTGTAATAAGAAAAAGCCTTTAGAATCCACCCCCAAATCCAAATTTTTTGAAGTGAAATTAGATATAATATTATAAATAATTTATTGCTGGCATATATAAATATTTACTTTTGAACTATAGATGTATATTTTACTGTTTCATTAAGATTACATTCATGTGACACTAAGACATAAATTTTCATTGACTAATATAAGCTGAAACTGGGTGACTGCTGTATAGCATTGTGAAATTTTCTGTCTTAATAAGACATGGTTGACTCTGTGATGTGTGTGTGATCTTACTGGGCATCCGTCAGATTGTTAAATCCAGGGTTGAGCCAACGAATCTCACAGTTTAGTGGGTGTCTGCCCCCTCCTTCACAGTGTGAACTTTCTAAAGCCGCCCACCTGTGCAAGAGAATGACCTGCTTCTAGAGGGCTCTATCCCACCTTGGCAAATATATTACCTCTCCAATAATAATTTCACTTTGAGACAATGATGCTATTTGTTCTTAACATAAATAACTGGACTTCCAAAAGAACTTTTCAAACATTGAAGCACTTGTTTGTTTGGTTTCCCCTTCTTTCAGCCATTTTCTCATTTGCAAAAGTAGATGAGAGTTTGTTGCCCGAAAGAAAGATTGTGGTTTGGGTGCAGACTAAGAGGGATGGCGTGTTTTGAATTCAGAAACGAAAATCCTCTGAATCTGGATAATGTGTCTCTTCCAACCTTTTAAATGCAAATTTGTGTCCACTTACAAACATTGATTTTCTATTTATTTTTAGTGGACATGACTTCCAAATAAGTGCCACATGTAACATATTCATATTTATTCTATTAATAAAAATATGTGTTCAATGGGAAAATTATTGTGTTCACAAAAATATGTGCTTTGGAAGTACATGTGCTCTGTAAGAGAGAACATGTATCTCATTTTCATACAGGAAATAATTTCTGCAAATATAAAGAATAAAGGCAAGTTCTTTTACATTTCTGAATATTTCCATTTAAAAAGATACATTTTACGCAGTGTAATGTACACATCTGTACCCTAGAAAATAAAAACACTGTTTAATTTTGAAATCTTTAAAATGTCAATTATTTGCTGTTTGAGAATTATTGTTTCCAATACTTACCTAACATCATTGATATTGTTATTATTTTATATGAACTAAAATTAGGCACTAATAGATTTGATGTTTTCTAAATACTTTCCAACTCTGTCTTTTCATTATTTTATATGTGTACAAAAATGGGTCTTAATTTTTCAGTATTACTAAGGGAAAGAGCAAATTTGTAGTTTTATATCCAAATTGAAAGAAAAATGGCATTAACATCATTAATTCATATTGGAACCATGGAAAGTAAGTCAGAAATGAAGTTAGCCTACTGGTTTTACTCCATGAGCTAGTGTAAAATGTCACAGCTCATTATTATCCTATTTTACAGATATCTCATTGTAAGTTCTCAGGTTTTTCAATAGTTGGTGGTTATCACAGTATCAAAACTCTTTTCAATTTGGAAACAAACACAAATAGTAATATGATCGTGAAAAAAATCACAGTTCTGATTCTGAAAAAAATAAAATTAGCAGCATTTTTCTTTAATCATACCTCAGTTCGATTTATTTTTGCTTGCATAAGAAAAAAAAATCGAAGCAGAATACTTTTATGTTTTTCCTGTGTTGGTGAACAGATCTGAATTAGAGAAGAGGTAGGAACATTCTCAAGGCAATTAGGCTGCCTTCTGAGTAAAAATCATATCTAATGCCATTGGAGTTTCTTAAATGCTCACTAGAAATGTTTATTACACTTCATCTACTTAAATTTTTTTTATTAAGAAATAATTTCAAGCTCAAAAGAATTGTAAAAATAAAAATAGTGTAATGAATACCTATATGCCCTTACCCAGATTTACCTAATCTTAATATTTTATTCTATTTGCTTTATAATTTGCACTTATTCTTTCTCTATCTATATCTTTGTCTCCATTTTTTCTTTCTGAACCACTTGAGGGTAAGTTATAAAAAAACATGACCCTTGACTTCAGCTTGTACTTGCTAAAAATAGAGGTAGTCTCTTATGTAATGGTTACAATATCTACTTCATAAATTTATATCGATACTTTTATCTAATATTTGCCCATATTCCAATTTTGCTATTTATCTAACAATATCCTTTATAATATTTTCCCCTCCAGTAAAGGATCCAGTTTAGAGTCATGTGTTACATTTAGTTGCGATGTCTCTTTAGCCTCCATTGCTCTGGAACATTTCCACATCATTTCTTTATCTTTTATAAAATTGAAAACCTTAAAGTCTATCCACCAACTCTTCTTCTTTTCTTTTTAACAGAGTGTTCCTCATTTGTATTTGTCTGACATTTCCTCATGATAAGATTGTGGTCATGCATTTTTTGCTATGATACTGAATAGGTGATGTCTCCCCTCATGCTATCATTACTAGAGCCACACGATGCTCATCTATGCCCCATTGGTAATGCTAATTTAGGTTGCCATGTCAAAGTGTTGCCTCATTTCTCCCTTTTATAATGACAGCCCCTCATGAAAAATTTCCCTTTGGGTTTAATATTAATTGATGTTCTCATCTGATGCAGTCTTTACTGTAATGCATCATAGTTATAAAATCATGATTTTCCAGCTCCAGCACTCTCTGTGTATTTCAGTCAGACTTTTGCATTCTAATGTAAGCAAAAGAACTCCCTTCTCTCCTGTATTTAATTACTAATTTATATATCTGTTACTGGTATAAAGTCACAAATTTCTGTCTTTCCGGTGGTTTATAATTCCTTGCTGCCTTAATTATTACGGTGCTCAAATTGTCAAATACCTGTTTGAGTTATTGGTTAAACTTTTATATTTATTTTATATTTATATTTATAACTTTATATTTCAATTCTGTTCGATCTACATTTAGTTTGAAGTTAATTATCCTCTTGGACATTCCAAAAGGTGGCAATGTCAGAAAAGAAAGTAGGTTATCGGGAGGTATTTGGTCAACCTTATGAATTTATTATTCCAGAGTGGATTTTTAAAAGTTAAATGTGCATGTATCATCACATTTACAGAAAAATAGATAAGAAGCAACCATGAATTTGTGTAGTCCATAAGCACTGGAAAAATTCTCACCCTTTCTGTAAGTGATTCTAGATTCCTGCCCCTTGCACTCCCCCATATTCTACTATAGTAGAATGATGAACACATCCTG